TACCAATTCCTTAAAAGATAGAGACCCATACGCCTCACGTATGGTCTTATGATTAGTCCACTCTACTACCGCCACCTGTACTTCGCTTTGTACGGGTATTAAATTATGCATAATAATTTGGTAACTGGCAACAAAAGTCCTAAGGCGTGTTCCCGTAGAGACGGCTGTCAACAAACTTTTGAATTGTTTTTATATTGAAATTTTTTTAAAAGAAAGTATTTTTAATGTAGAAAAGAAGTTAACTTAATAAATCTTTCGTAATCTAATAAATCGAATCTGTTTATAGACTTCAGTTTGATTAATTTCTAATAAGAATAAAGGAAAAAATGGGTATTATCTTACTTATTGTGTCGTGGATGAGTAAGTAATCAGAAGTATAATTTGTGATTAATAAATAGTTTTTGATTATCATTCGTGAATTTTTTAATTATATAAGGAAGGAAATTATCATAAATTTTGGAGTAAAGTAAACTTATCTGTATGCATGAGCGTCTAGCTTTTTTAGGGAAACAAAATTAAAATATAGAGTTAAATATAAAAATTTCACATTTGAAAAAAAGAAATTGATAAAAATCAGATCTTTTCGATAAATATATGTCAATTATTATTTTTTTAAAAATATCTTGATTGTTTTCAACTTATCTAAGTTTAAATAGCTGTTTTCTTCATTTATATTGGGAGGGGGGATCACAATACGGATGTCACCCTCGTATGTATTGAAAAATTTGTAAACTTTTTACATTTTGTTGTATGAAATTATAATTATAAAGAAAAATTTATTTTATATATTCGAAATATTTATTTGTAACTTTTTGAGTTTTAATTCATTGGTTTTAGTTGACATTCATATATTTGTCTTAAGTTAATTTATTGATATTAGTAGTGTGCTAACTACTCCATAAATGTAAGATAATCTAAGAATATACTGGTACGTAAGTATACCAAAGAGTCTACAATAAAATCTTGTCATAATTAATCAAGTTGTTAATAAAGTTTCTTTGGGTAGACTATATTTGAGGGTGCCCCTTGATTCTCGTCAAGTTGTGATAGGGGTCGATCGCAAATCTGGGCGATGTTGAAACCCAATCGTGATTCGGATTGGTTTATATTTTAGCTTTATTTTTAAATGTTCAACGGTATACGAAATTTCAGAGGTCCATTAGTTCTACGTTGGATACTGGCTGGTAAGGTAACTTTTGCTTCTGGTCTTAAAAATGACTACAGTAAATAAGATATATCTTAAGTTTCTGTACGATTTGAATAACAATGGAAAAAAAGCAGTGATTGACTGGTGTATGAATGAAGATTCAAATAGTAATAGATATAAATGTCCTGTTTGTGGTAGTTATTTTTTTCCTTTTCTTTCGGTGCTTACTCCATTATTTTTTGTTTCGATTCAAAATGCATTTTATTGGGTTTATTAATTTTGCTTATATTGGGTTCATTGCAATTTTATTAAGTTTTTGCCGATGTTTTGTTGAAATTTTCCAATGTTTTATTGAAATATCATTATGTTTTGGCAGCCATTCCAGTTTTCACGGCGTTCCGCGCAAGCAGGAATGGCGCCAAACAACATAAGTCGCCAATTTCGCCAAGGGGCACCCTCAGTATATTTTTACCATTTCTTTAATTCCAAATATTGATATTTATTTGACACATTTAGGATTGCACACTAATGATTTGTTATATGATAAGTAGGGCTGCAGGTCTGTCGCAGCGCGAATTTCCGCGAAATTATCCTCTTTTTTCCTGAAATCCACGAATTTCTCAATATGTTTTAATTTGCACGAAAATGGCTTAAAATGTGAATTTTTTTTCATTTTTAATTTATTATTTTTATTTAACAGAATTTTTAACTTTTCTGAAGCCTTAAATTGAACATGTAAAACTGATTAGATATTTAGGGGAGCGAATCAATTGCAAAATGACAAGAAAATAGTTTAGAGATAATCACTATCTTGTCAAGTAAGGTGGTCTTTCTACACTTAGGGAGGGTAAGAGACTGGTGGGATTACTTTCCTGAAGTCAGTAAGAGTACAAAGGAAATTGGAATCACAAAAGAAAGAAAATGCTATAAATCAAATCTTTGACACAAAAATCGCAACCCAGGCTATTGCACTGTGCAATGAATTTTCTACTGCCTTTCTACATATCTGGGCAATATTTCTTGGGCGGCTTCTTGTGATTTCTTAAATAGGGATAGGTTTCTTAGATGAGAGGGACATAAGGCTTTTGTAACTAGTAGTTTGTATGTAGAATGCTTGAGTTTTCAGAGCAATCACTTCTTACAAAGCAACGGTCAAGGAATCGCTTCTTGATGAAGGAAAATTTATCGAGTTTTGGAAATCAAAGACCGAACGCTATCCAAAAGTGGCAATTCCATGTTTGTCGGTGCCTACAAACAGCGTTTAAGCAGGAAGATCGTTTTCTAAGCATAAAAATGTATTAAGTGATGAAAGACAAACCATAAATGAGAATAATGTGACAATGTACAACACTTTGTACCTAAATTCTGTTAATTTTATTAAAATTATTAATATGGCTTTAAATTAAAAGAAATATTTTTGTTGTGTATTTTTTAAGCTTTTTTCATTATTTGCGCGATTTCTGTCTTTTGCATCATTTATATAGTGAACTTTCTTATGTTTAGAATCTGCTTAATTTTAAAAATTTCCCGCGAATTTCGGGTCTTTTTTCCCCTTGACAAACTTGCAGCCCTAATGATAGAGCCACTAATTAATGGTTGCTCTATAGATGATAAACAAATACCTATTGTTTTGTTAGATTAACAACAAATATATATTTTTTTCATAGTGTTCTTATTTTCATTGATTGATGGTGCTGATGTTCCTGGGGTTCCAGATGACAGAAAATTGAAGTATGTATCTGAATATTAACTTATTTCTATGCATTATAGCCATTGTAATCGATATTAAATTGTTACATTTTATTGATTTTATGTTATGAAGAACAAATATTTTGTTTTGTTCTTACAATCTTAACCCAAGAAACAATGACTGTTGCTAAACCAATGAGAACATTTTATTTTGTAAAAGTCTAATTTAAAAATAAAAAATTGGGCTCTATATTTTGTATACAATTTTGTGATCATTTAGCTTCAGTTTGAATGTATTGGGTTGGAGGGAAAGTTCTGTCGTCAATCAATAGTGATGTTTTGCAATCCATGTTGGAAAATAATCCACATTTAACAAGTCGACAAATTGCAGAAGAGTTTGTTATTCATCATACAACTGTTGGAGATCACATTAAATCTCTTGGGTTTGTGTTAAAGCAAAGTGTTTGGGTTCCACATGAAATAACGGAAAAGAATTTGTCTGATCGTGTAAGAATGTGTTCATCACATCTGATTAGAGACAATGTGGAGCCGTTTTTGGACAGGCTGGTTGCTGGAGATGAAAAGTGGAATCTTTACGAGAATATTAAGAGAAAAAAGTCCTACTGCAAACCAGGAACATCATCAGCAACAGTTCCAAAACCAAGTATCCATCAGCGAAAAGTACTGCTTTGTTTGTGGTGGGACAGGAAAGGTCCAGTGTACTACGAGTTGCAGAAACGGGGAAAAACCATCAACGCGGTTCTGTACTGCAATCAGCTAGATAAATTAAAAGCAGCTATCAAAGAAAAAAGGCCAACATTAGTGTCCAGAAAAGGAATAGTGTTCCAACACGATAATGCTCGCCCGCATACTGCAATGGTGACACTTCAAAAACTGAATGCGTTAGGATGGGAAATCCTTAGTCACCCACCGTATTCACCTGACATTGCACCATCAGATTGTTATCTGTTCAGATCTCTGCAAAATTATCTAACGGGTAAAAAATTCAAGTCTTTTGTAAGTGTTTCTAAGGCAGTTGCTGACTATTTCAATTCTAAGGACGAGAATTTCTACAAAACAGGAATTCACAGGTTACGTGAAAGATGGCAACAGGTTGTAACAAATAACGAAGCATATAAAATAGATTAATATTAAACGCATATTTTTATAAATGAATTCAAATATTTTCTTTAAAATACGACAGAACTTTCCCTCCAACCCGATAGTTTTAGTGCCTGTGGTATTCTCGCAATCCAGATACACACAAATTCTATATTTTATTTTATGTATAGATACTGATAAATATTAACACGTTCACTGCCACCGAAGCTCTAGCGCATCAGAGCGGCACCTACTGGTATGCCGATGATGCGCTAGCGCGTCGATCGCCTATGATAAGTTATATGCTCTGTGTTTAGTGTGGCTTTGGGAATTCAACGGGGAGGTTGTTTCGGCATGTTAGTGAAGCATTATTTTTTTATTTTTTGTGGTTGGTTTTCAAAACTTTTGTTTGATTTTTTTTATGTGCGTGACTGCCAATATCTGTATATTGTGCGTATTATTTACAAATATTTTCAGTATTGTTTCATAAATGGTACTACATATACTTGAATGGTATTCCGTTTTATTCCTTTCAAGCTGCTATTTTATGCAATATGCCAGTAATTTCGGAGAATATTGATCACACACGCTGGAGCGTCAGTGGCACTCACGAAGACACGTTAAGTCTGTGTGCCATTGACACTTCAGAGTGTCGGAAAAAAAAAAAAAACGTTGTCTAAACAGGAAAATAATATGCTTCTTCGTTTTTCTGGTTTTCCTAGGAAAATATAAGGAACATTTAAACCATTAAAACCCTGTTTTGTAATCCGGCTTCTGAGGATGGAAATATCATTTTTAGTGGCAGCGAATGTGTTAAGCAAGAGATCTTAAGTAAATTACCTTTTTTTCCTTTTCATGTTGATAGCTATGCTACATGAATTCTATTGATTATAAGCTAATTAGTTTTCCTTTTTACATTTTCTCCACTTGTTTACCACATTTGGTTTCCTAAATAAGGCAATGAGTAGAAATACTGATATTATTTCTCTCATAAGAGTACTAAATTCAGAACAAACTGTTATGCATCTGCACCAATTTTTAAGGATTTTTTTTAAATTTGGTGATTTCTTACAATAATCTGGCTTCAGTTGTAACGTAGTTAGGTATTACTGAGATGTAATTAGAATTATGGGGGAATCGGACATATTGAATGGTGTAGGTGTATTAGTGAGAGATATTTGATATTTTGATGATGTATCTGACAATTTTGTAAATAAACAGATCGTAAGATTGTATTGTAGGTGGATATTTAAGATTTTGATGAGTTATGTAGCTGATTTCTAATTGTATAGATGGGAAGAGAAGATTATTGATGTTTTGAATTTTTTCTTAGTGTTTTGTTTTTCTACGCAATATTTTTTTCAGAAATTTAATTATTAAAATGTGGTGTTTGGATAAAATGTTGTGTTACCCTTTTTTCTTCGAGATGAATGTTTTATTAGCCATAATTAGGTTTTGCAAAGCACAGCTGCCAACTGTACTGGATTTTCCAGTAGACTACTGGATTTGCTAGTTTCTCCTCGTTAAAACCAGGTGTAATAAAAATTCTCCCAATTTTTATACTTTTTAGAAAATTCCCTAAAATTGAGTAAGTTTCTTAATTAATTAGTAAATTGCCTATTAGAGTTATGAGTTAACAAAAATTGAAATAAATATAAGCTCAAATTTACTAATATATATTAATTTACTTGTATTATAAATAATTTAAAAATACTTCATATTTAAGCAACATGTAAATTTAGTTTAAAGTAATGACTATGGGGCTCTTTATAGTTCTGTGCCTAGGGCTCCCGTATTTCTAGATCAGGATTTGGTGCAGATGCATAACAGTTCCCTAAATACTTGATATATATATGTGAAGTCTTTTTCATATTTGTCCATTTTGTGCTTGCCAATTTTTCTATTTATTTTTTAAAATTAAAATAATTTTTTTAAAATTTATTCAAAGATTATGTCAAAATTAATGTTTTATTTTTTAAAATTATTGGGTACAAATTTTGATTACAAAATTGTTAAACTATAGATCATCATTTCATTATTATTAATGAAAGATAACTATTTGAATTTTAAAATTGTTTTAAGGAAATTTTGTGCTACAAATATTATTAAACTAATACTTATGTTTCATTTCAGAACTAAAATTAGCCGGGGATCTGGGGTTGGTAAGTTTTTTATTTAGTAATTTTTAATGTCATTTAAATTTTATTTAAGGACTATTATTTGTTTAACTCAAAATTTATTATTTTCTTTAAATATGAGAAGTTAAAATATAATTTTATGTAAGAAAGGCTTACAAATTTTTTTTTGGAGAAAAAACTTGTAAGACTTTATTTTAAAAATTGCATTATTTGTATGCCTATAAAATTTTCTATATATACTGAATATAAAAAAATTGAAAACCAGTTTTATATTTTCTTTAAAATAATTTTTTAAAAAATGTTTTAATTTTTATAGGTGTTATACCATTTGGATACATTGTTCTAGTACTTATTGCCTTTGCACTGTTTGTTTTCTTGATGGGTTTGGCATTGTTTTATAAGAGGGAAACTGGAATATTTGGCATATATTCTAATTATCTGAAAGCAAAGAAAAAACCATTCAATATTGAAGGATCAATACGTGGAAAGGAAAAAACATTGTTTCTTAGCACTCCATATTAAGGGTTTTCAGGGCAGTTTCATGTATACATTTTCCAGAATGATCTATTATTTACTCATGTCATACTTCATCTGTTATTTATTCATATCATATCTTATGTATTGTTTATTCAAATCATTTGAATTATTGTGATTAATAACAAGAACTATGTGCAGCATCTATTTTGTGGATTTTTAGGGAAGCTTTCTTTTTTTATGGTGAATATTGTAAAATGTTTCTCCAAATTTTTTATTTAGTCCTTTGATTTCCCCCCCCCCACTTTAAATAAGTTTAGTAGATGTAGTGTATATTTAAGAGAAAAAAGTCCTACTGCAAACCAGGAACATCATCAGCAACAGTTCCAAAACCAAGTATCNTCTTTTCTTAAACTTGGTATCAAGTTTGAAAAATTTATCAGTTCTAGAACATTTTAGTGCAATTGAACCTGTTTTCAAAATCTACTCCCCCCCCCCCTCAAAAAAAAGCTGACTGAATGAGCCTTGAATGCTTTCATTAAACTTTTAAAAGGAGCCTAAAGCTTGATAATTAAAATTATTTCATTACTGTAAAATATTACAAGATTATGTTTTGTCTACAGCTCTAATTACAGGCTTAGAATCATTTTATAATTTTTATTGTAATTGTGCAATAAAAATTTTTAATTTTCAAATGGTGATTTGTTAATTTTTAAAGTGTATCTATATTTAAAGTCATCTGCCATTATTCTATAAGTTGTTGAAACTTTTTGCATAAAAACAATAGCAGTGCACTAAATAAAAGTGACATGTATTGTGAGAAAATCAATACTATTTTTAAAAAGACTAGTATACATCTTATAAATTTAGCACCATTGTATGTGAAATATTCTTTTTATGATCACATTTTTTTTCCTTAATGATAAAGGAATTTCATAAAAATGCCACTTTGAAATCGAATTGTGTCTCTTAGATTTATTTGATGAAATCTAGAACCCCGTCCATATGTTTAACAAGTTAGTGCCTGTAAATTTTTCTGTGTATACTGGCATTAATAAGTACACTTGAAGATATGAATTATTGGATATCCCCAAACCAATTGTATTATGCTTCAATTTTTAATTTATTGTGAGTTATTGATAAAAAAGAAGTGCAATTTGTTATGATGTGTAATTTGTTATAATTTATAAAAAAAAAATAATGTAGACTTTTCTAGAATTGATGTATTTATATATATAGTGAACTCCTGATGGATTCTCCGCAGAATTAAATGGCAAGACAATTTATGATGAGTTGATTCTGCAGATAATGCACAAAATGTTCAATGAAATATCTATGTATTTGTATTTTAAAGTGTTAAAATAATATCTTAACTTATTTTCTTGTTGTTTGTTAGCGTTTTCAAACATTATTTTGGCATTGCAGAGGAATAAAATATATTAATCATCAACAATAATATATATATATGGAGTTTGCAGTTAAGAGTTGCAAGACAGCATATTAAGTAGAGAAAATATCATACATAATCTTACGAGTACAAAATATGAAACAAAAACTTACACAGACAAATTATTGTGCATCAGAATCCCTAGTGGATAAAATATGGCATAGAATTTCACACTAATAAATTAGCAGACGACAGATTCTCTTATGAACAAAATTGTTGTTGCATTTATTAAAGCATTTTGTATGTGTGAAAGTAAGTCCAAGACATTATCTGTAAAGCAGATAATCGGGAGTTCACATATAATTTTGTTATGCATATATATTTCTATACAATTATATATATTAAGTATTTTAAGCCTTAATATAATAAGTAACTGTGATATATGCAACACTGTTTTTTAAAAAAATATATTAATGTGGATTTAAATTAACTATTTTTTCTGTGATATATCTTCTGAAGTATTTATTTTATTGAGAATATCTTTCAACTAATTTTTTATTGATGATCTGAAACTATTAGTTTATCGTAATATTTATTGCTTGAATAGTTACTTTCTTGGATATACTTTATCATTCCACAATGTGTGAGACAATTTTCGCATGACCTGGTGAAAAGAAATTGATTCTAATATGATAGTATTTATACCCAAGGCCATGTTAATTGTTATAACATTTATAATGATTGCATCTAGTGTTATGAAAATGTTAAGTGTCCTTGGTGCTATTTTTTAATATTTGTGGTATGAATAATATAAATTAAGATGTTTATCTATTTAGATGGCTAGATAATTTTCTGCTAAGTATTGTTGCCATCAAGTATCACAATAGTTTTATTTTTTATTATGTTGGTTGTTTGGTTAGAATCTTTTGTATTTATTTTTATTATTTGGTAGTTGTTGGAATTTAAAATATTTATTTGTGGTTTTTATATTGCCTTTCTAATAAAAATTTTTTTAAAAGTGTTTTAGTGTCAATGGTTACAAAATGCAATAATCATAAAAGCTAAATAAGAGCATTTAAATAATTTTGAAACAGGATAAATGAACAATAACCCTTATAAAATATTAATCATGCTTCAGTAGTTAGGAAATTGCTATTAAGTTATGAGTAAAAAATTATCAGAGAATTAAATAAAAAATTTTTTTTGATTGTTTCAAACAGTTTTTTGTAAAAAATCTATAATACATTGGGTGCATAGTCAAATTTTCCTACAAAAATTAAGCCCCTTTTAAATACTTTAAAAGCACAAAAAAAAATTTTTAGGCATTTTTTTTTTAAATAAAAAAAAAGAATATCATAATTAGGATATGAATCCTAAGAAAAATATTTTCTACTGATAAAAGTTCATCTATGTGTTTTTAAAATGAACAAAATGGCAAAACTATTTTAGATTACAAAACTTACCGACTCTATCATGATGATGTAATAAGTTTCTAGCAGAAAACTCTATTTGCCACAGAAACACATTTTACGCACATTTATAAATATATTTGTTGTAGAGTAACGTGTTTAAGTTTTTAAATTAATAATTACGTTACTAAATTATGTAAAAAAAATTAATTTTATTTTTAAATTTATGAAATTAATCATTAATATTACTAAGCACATTTATAAGATTATAATAATTATTGATCATACTGAATAGTAAGGCTAGAACATATATTCGGACACTTAATCTGTTGTCTTGCCGAATAATTAAAAAAGAAAAAAAATTTCATGTTTTTTTTTTTTAACGAAATTTGAATAGATTTAATAAAGAAAAACCAAAATCGTATTTCTTGTTTTATAGAAATAGTTTTTACACATATTTGTGAAGTTCTAAAACTTTCAAATTTATGTTCTGAAAGACAAATGGAAATTTGAAGAATTTTAACTAAATTACTTTATACTGAACCACAAGTTATTTACTGCGGATTTTTGAATATTGTATTCAGGCAAGTTAATTTCACTTTTTCAAATTTTTTGTTTCAAGAATTGAGAACGTTTTATTACACACAGTATTTTAATAGAGTGTAAGTGCTTCTAATAGACTTAATTCTTTTATTTTCACTTTTTTCCTATAAAGACATTACCAGTAACATCGGAAACTAATATTTAATGATAGTTATATTTTAAAAACTAAGAACAATTTTCCTTCTTTTTTTTATCAGCATTTTTAAAAAAAAAATGTTTATAATGATCGTTATTCTTCTATCTTCGCTTTTTTCTAAAAATATGGCAACGTGAAAAAGTTAAATTAAGGTTTTTAGCAATAAATTTTTCATTTAAAAATTAAGAATGATTTTTATTTGGGATTCTATAGAACTTTTTTTTTCTTTTTACAAAAACTTCCGTTTCTATCAACGTTTTTAATATGATGCGGCAAGTTAGAGGGTTTCTAGTAGACTTGTCACTTTTTTCTTGAAAATACAGTAACTGGAAAAGTGAGATGTTCAGCTTTAAAATTTTCGTTAGAAAATTAGGATTGATTTTTTTTTTTTTCGATTTCGCTTTTGTGGCTTAATGCCTCCGGGGTGTGACCTCAAATATGCTAATTATTAATTAAGCTGCGAAATTAGACACAAAAACGTACTTTCTCTGAATAAACATATATTTTTTTTCACAAATTTGGAATCCAGACACTTTAATTAGGGGGGGTAGACGAAATTTTGAAAAAATTAGACACAAAAACGTATTTTCTCTGAATAAACATATATTTTTTTTCACAAATTTGGAATCCAGACACTTAAATTAGGGGGGGTAGACGAAAGTTTGAAAAAATTGGGTCACAATAAAGGTTCATATATTTGGCGATATTTCAGAAAACTGCCAGAAAAAGTCGCCAACGCAAATTAATATTTTAAGGTAACCCATTGACTAATTCAAAAGAAGAGGACTTGATTTCACTAGGTTGCTAAGCAACCAATTTCTGACTGTAAAATTTTTTTTTAAATAATGCTCTGTGATTGCTCGGAGAGGTTTAATAGAAATATCTCAAAGTTAATAGAAAATATATCCCAAAAAGCAAAATTTTTTTTTATTTTAATCTCCTTTGAAAAGAAAATTTGAATCGATTTATAAATTATTTATGATTTTCTAAGTTTTTAGAATTTAAATACATGAACTTTTTATCTGATATTATTTAGATTAAGTTGTTTTTGTTATAAAAATTCGAGGATTTCATACTAAAATTCAAATTAACATAACTTATTATGGCTATATACAAAATTTTAGGGATAATCATTTTCGAGTGTTCTAGGCCAGAAAGTTTGAAGAAAAAAAAGAGCTTGAAAAATAAAATGTTGTTGTTGTTACTTTACGTCGCACTAGAGCTGCACAATGGGCTATTGGCGACGGTCTGGGAAACATCCCGGAGGATGATCCGAAGACATGCCATCACAATTTTGATCCTCTGCGGAAGGGATGGCACCCCCGCTTCGGTAGCCCGACGACCTGCGCGCGAAGTCGAGCACTTT